TGCCTCCCACTCCTAACCCACCGAGACGCCGCAGCATGATACCGTGGTCTACAGTATCAAAAGCCGCTGAGAGGTCCAAAAAAACAAGGACAGAGGAATAACCTCTGTCCCGGGCCCTCCAGAGATCATTAACCAACGCGACCAATGCCGTTTCCGTGCTGTGTCCCGGCCTGAAGCCCGACTGGTATGGGTCTAGATATTCTTCACTTGAGACAGAAACTCCTTCTGCTTGAGTGTCGCCCAGCTTCTTTTCAGTCAGCCCACTTTTTAATTTCATATTATTGCCTGTTTACAATAATACTTAAAATACTGAATTTGGAGGCAGGAAAATCAGCCTGCGATAGGACTCAATCACTAACCATTCTTAAATGGGGCCAATCAGGATTACCAATAGTCTTTACTAGGTTTTATTTGCTCTTACTATATATATAGTAAGAGCAATTAATTTCAGAAATGCAAGAAAGGACAAACATTACTGGCTATGGATAATCTGAGTTATAATACAGCACATCTAAAATTTAAATCTTAAATTGAAACTGGTATACATTTAAATATATCTAGCTATAACTGTCACTTGTCTCCTAGATATAAAATGAAACCCATTTTTAAAAGTGCTTTTGTCTTTGTAACATAGAAAAAAATTAGCAACTAATCAGCATTATCCAAAGGTAAATATTACTTTGACTAAATTCTTATTCCACATGGAACTCTTTAACACAACTTTCAATTTTTATCTTTATGACTTCCTAACAACAAAATGCTTTCCCACAAGAAATGGGATTGCTCTTAGATCCATTTTTGCAGACAGAATAGGGATGGAGAAACAGATGCTAATGAAACACCATCTAGCTCAGGCCTGTCAAACTGCCGGCCCACAGACCAGATGTGTCACTCCAAAACCGCGCCCACCTCATTGCTGGCAATGGGGAAAAAGGTTGCGGTACGTCGCGCGACATCGCGAGTTTGACATGCCTGATCTAGCTGTTAGTAATGGGTATTCAATTTTAGCTTTGATGTAGTGCTGACTTTCTTGGTGGCTGCCTACAAATCCGACTGTGAAGACAGAAAGAGGAGTAGAATAAAAAAAAACCCAGTTGACTACTCACTTGTTGTGAAAATAAACAGAAGAATTGATATAAAAACTGCGGCGTAATAAAACACACATTCTGGAAAACAAGATGTGATGCAACCAGTTAAGAGACATAAAACACCAAATTCTGTCATACCCATCCAAACACATCTTGAATATCAGAAAAAGTAAAGAAGTAAAACAAGGGTCTTCAAACTTGGCCCTTTTATGACTTGTGGACTTCATGTCCCAGAATTCCTCAGCCAGCGTGCCAGGCTGAGGAATTCTGGGAGTTGAAGTCCACAAGTCATAAAAGGGCCAAGTTTGAAGACCCCTGAAGCAAAACAACCCTGTCTACTGAGACTCATCTTCCAGATGGATAATGATATCACTGACTGGAATTAAACTCTTTGAAGGAAGCAGTGGAGAGAAAATTCTCCCACAAGGCACCTCAGCTTCCATCACTGTCACAACCAATGAAGCAGTCTTCACTAATACCATCACCCTAATCCACTTCAGACTTAGAAGCTCCGTGACTCCTTGCTTAAAATAGAAATCGTGTCCTTTTTTTTCCCTGACACCTCGCCAGACTGCTCTCATCTCATTTTGCCTTTAAACTACGATCTGGATGACGTGCACATCAAAAGAGATCACAACCTGTTTATAATCTAGACTCTGCAACCATGATTAAAAGTTGGTTTACAAGAAAATAGTTTTACTGCAGATGTGTTTGGCTTGGAGGAAATGAGCAGCAAGTTAGTGGAAGGCGATGGAAGCTCCTACTGAACATTATCAAGGAAAAACTTTACAGGTAGTCCTTGAGTTACAGCCATTCGTGTAGCAACCATTCAAAGTTACAATGGCATTAAAAAGTGATATATGACTGGACCTCACACTTATGACCATTGCAGCATCCCCATGATCATGTGATTAAAATCCAGGTGCTTAGCAACCAGCATTTAGGATGGTTGCAGCATCTCAGTGTCATATGATGGCCATTTGGAATCTTCCCACAGTTTCTGACAAGCAAACTCAGCAGGGGAAGCTAGATGTGCCTAATGACCAGAAGCTTCACTTAACAACTGCAGTGATTCGTTTAGCAACCATGGCAAACAAAGGTTGCAAAACTGGGCACAACTCACTTAACAACTGCCTTGCCTAGCAATGGAAATTCTAGTCCCAGTTGTAGTCAAAAGCTGAGGACTATGCGTCTACATTCAAAGGTTGTTTTTCCTAGAGACCAAGCCTCCATGTTCATAGTTTGCTTTAAAAAGTGCTTTGTAGAATGCTATAATATATTTTCTTTTTTCTTAGCTCTCTAGTCTAGAACAATGAGGAAAGATGGGGTGAAATGTTAAGATACAGAACTCCACCTGGATTCTTTTGTTTGTGTCACCTACATTCAATACAATTAAGGGAATCAGGAAAATGAATAGGATGGAGACATTTGTGCATGCATTCCTGCATAAGCAGATGCATAGAACATGTGGGCTACCCATAATGTCTTAGTATGGTTAATATGCTGTCATTGTTAATGCTGGGGCTTGAAATAAAATTTGGGGAAATGCTAGTGTCAACAATGAGATAGAAGTAGATTCAGTTTCTACAATACCTCTTTTTTAATATCACACTTCTAAACATTAGAAGAAAGAAAAAAGAAAAAGTTCTGAGCTAAAAGAATCCCCCATTATAGGCTACAGACACTTACCTTGTAAAAAAAGTACTGTACAAGGGTTGCTATCCTAACATAATAAAGGTGGCCATGGACAAAAAGTAACTTGGAGAGGAATTTAAATCTTGCTATTGCATAGTCACTGTTTCTTACAGCTTGTCTGCCTTCTTTGCCCATGATACCTGCAATTTGGATAAGCAAAAATAACAAAAATAACTTGTCTTCCTAAGTGACACATGTAAGTCAAAGTGAAACAACATATGCAACAATAACAGAAGATTCAGCCTTTTAGTATGCTGTTTGGAGATTTAAAGGAGACCTGAGCAGATAAGAGCACACCCTTTATTCCACAACTAAAAAAAACATGCGTAAATATTTTCTATTGCCGAACTACATAACCAATCTCTTTTTTCATGGAAGGGCTCAGAAATATTGGGGGGGGGGGGAACATACTTCTACCAATAGCCATCCTCACCATCTACTATCCTGCTCCCGATTAGTGGTTCTCAAACATTTTGGTCTCAGAACCAATTTTCTTTATTAAAAATGACTGAGAGTCACAGAGAGCTTTGGTTTATGTGGATTATGTCTATCAGTATGTACCGATTTTATATTAGAAATTAAAACTGAGAAATGTCAGCATATTTACTTGATTTTGCAGACACTTGAAAGGATCTCGGGGACCCCATACTACATTTTCTCTACTCTAGAGAAAGCTGCTTGGAAGCAATGACAAGCCACCAATTCCCACAGAAAAAATAACAATTATTCCTACTTTCTTTACTAACTTAGGTTCCTTCAAATAGGCTATTAGTATATACTTAGCCAGCCTTAACACTCACAGCATATTTGGAGGACATCAAGTTGCAGAATGTGTGGTGTTATTAATTTATTTACTTACTTGGCTTATAATTCTAATGAATCTGAAAAGATTTTGAGTGGCCTGCATTTCCATCTGACATTAAGACGATTAAAAGAAAAACAAAATTATAATCTAAGAATTACAACTAAGTTTCAAAGAAAACGTTTGCAACTGAGAAGATGCAATCATAAAGCCATTCCTGGTTGGCAAGCTGGATGTAAAGATGCTTTATTTATTTAAATATCTTTTACTTATTATTTTATTTAACTGAAAGGCTCCTGTATACACAGAACCTAGTTTATTACTTTTTCATCTGTAGAGATGATACCCATTGTAATCCCAATTAATGAAGTTTAAATACAGCGAGACTCTGACCATCACCTAAATATTACCTATGCCAACATGAGCTTCTTGTATCATGCTCACATCATTAGCTCCGTCACCGATAGCTAATGTGATAGGCTTCTCTGGAGATGTTTTCAGCAGCCGTACAACCTGTAAAAAGAAGACAGACTTCTTTAAAACAAAACTGACATTATTTGGGAATCAGTGATTTGAGACATTGAGGTTTCTCAACAAACTCAAGAGAAGGAAATGCTTAAAATTCAAACATTTAACCAAAACATTTTCTAATGGATGGAAAATAATTCAGAGATTAAAACTGTCTCTTTCCAACAAGTCGAGAATTTATTTCCACTGAAAACTGATTGAAGGAACATTGGCTTTGATCTAGACTTAGTGTTTCCTGATCTAAAACGCCATCCAAATACAGCGAGATTTTTTTCCCCCCTCAAAGCAAATATGGCGCATAACTAAAATGCTAGTTTACTTGGCTTCTTCTCTTAAAATCTCAGGATTTTAAAGAAAAGGATCACACTTCTTTTATATCAGAAGTAGGGAGCTTCTGCCCCTCTGCTAAATTGTAGCTCCCAGCATTTCTCACATGCTCACTGTTTGGAATCAAATGCAGGACCCCAAAGCAAATAATCAAGGCTCACTGCAGTGTTTATTAAACAGTACACACTGGTTGAAAGGAATTGCTACACCAAGACTTTTGAGGCTGACTGGCTGGGAAATGTTGGCATACTTTGGGTACAGGTAGTCTTCGACTTATGATGACAGTTGAACCCAAAATTTATGTTGCTAAGTGAGACAGTTTTTAAGTGAGTTTTGCCCCATTTTATGACCTTTCTTGCCACAGTTCTTAAGAGAATCACTGCCGCTATTAGGTTAGTAACATGGTTGTTAAGTGAATCTGGCTTCCCAACTGACTTTACTTGTCAGAATTTCCCAAAAGGGGATCACATGACTCTGGGACATTGCAATTTTCATAAATATGAACCAGTTGCCAAACGTCTGAATTTTGATCACGTGACCACGGGCATGCTGCAACAGTCATAAGTGTGAAAACCGGTCATAAGTCACTTTCTTCAGTGCTCTTGTAACTTTGAACTGTCACTAAACCGTTCAAAGTTGNTTCTTGCTAAAAAGTATCAATCCATCGCCATTTTAAGTTCACTTTCACTCAGTCCTCCCCAAGTGAAGAGAAGATCAAAACATCCAAAATTAGAGTATAATCCAAAATAGAAACCAAACTTCCAGGGTCGGTTTGTCTGCTTATAATAACTCACAGTTCACTTCAAGTTGCAGCGGTGGCGGCGGCTTCTAGCTTCGCCGAAGCGAAGGCGTCCTGGATCGCGGAGAATCCTCGGGGCTCCGGAGGAGTTCTAACCTACATCGTCCACATAGGACGACTCGGGAACTCAACTCCTACCCCGGGCAGCTCACCGATCCCCTTATGCCCGGGGGAAAGGTATCAAACCGTTTGACAGCTGATGCTTGCTGTCAAAACGGCTTTTACACAAAAACAGGCGGGAGACAGCGGTCAGCTGTGTCCGACGAGGTCGCCTGCACACCGGAAGTCTTCTTTTTCTTTCTTATATGTGATTTATCTTTAAATAATAAAACAGTAAGGAAATTGGTATCTAACTCAGAGAATTTTAAAATCTTTTTCTTTTTAGTTGAAAATAGCTCATAGATGATACATGGAACACTAATTGTATGGTGTTACAGTTGCTTAGCAACTCACACTTTTCTCATTTCTCTAGCCATTGTAACAATTTAGTTTTGTAAAATTGGTGCTGGTACAGGTGAAAGGAGTGGTAAAAAGTTTTCTTAGAAATTGAAGAATAAAGGTTAGAGTTTAAAAGTTTTCTTAGCTCAAAACCAGTATGCAAGCCTAGTATATATTTTAGAATACAGCATAGAATAAATCTAGCAGATTATCAAAATAATATCAGTGCTGGATGTATTCCAAATCTTATGGTTAGATGTCTATGCAGCTGAGAGTTCTCTGTAGACTCACACACAAATGCTCTTCTATTAAAATGTCATAAATAGTTCATGCTTTGATGATGAAATATGTACACAAGACTGGAATGTGCCTCATCCGTAAACAGGGAGCTTGCTTGACAGTAATGTCCTCTTTATTCAATATGTTTTTCAGCCAAGCCAAAGTGGAGGGTGAAACATAATTGGGAGAAAATTCAAGTGGCCTGT